GTGTGTGTGTGTGTGTGTGTGTGTGTGTGTGTGTGTGTGTGTGTGTGCGTGCCTCAAGGCTTTTTGGTTGAACATTAGACATTGAAAACCCAATTATCTTTTCTTGTCTCTGCAGATGATCAAGGAAAACATTCACTAACTAAAGGCATTTTGAACTTAGACAATCAGCCCAGAATGAAGATACATAGTCTCTTATATTTCCTGGATTTATGTTCTATCCATGACCAAACCCTCATTTCCTTTGCATGTCATTGTGATGGATTTAAATTTAGATATCATGGTTCCCATAACCCATTTAGCTTTTAATTGTTTATCTCTTTGCCCTAGTATAAGTACGGAGGGCCCATCATCGCTGTGCAGGTGGAGAATGAATATGGCTCCTATAACAAAGATCGTGCATACATGCCTTACATCAAGAAGGTAAGGGCCATTTAATAGATTTCCTTACATTCCTTCCATGAAATATATTACAGACTGTGACATGGTGCCCTAGTACTTTCCTGAAATTAATACACCAGGCCTCTCAACACCACCTTATTAATTAGTGAATTTTTTCTGCGTTCATTTCTCCAGAGTTTTTACTTATTTACCCTTGGTTGATTGAGTTTACTGTGATATGTTTAGTACTCATATAGTATTGTTTGTTGTTTTGCTCTTCTGGCTTTTTTGAGGGGCATGCCACCCAGTTCCCAAGTAAATCACACATAAGCCTTATTCTTAGTTATGAATGCCTGGCTTTAGCTTGGGTTGTTTCTTGTGAGCTTTTCTTAACTTATCCTTACTACCTTTGCCTCTAGACTTTTATCTTTCTTTATTTCTGTATACCTTTCTTTATTTTTTTCTCTGTGACTTGCTGTGCAGTTGGGTGGCTGGCCCCTGCTGTCCTCCTCTCCTTGTTCTCTTGCTCCTAGTTCTCTTGTTCTTAGTTCTTAGTTCTCCTATTTATACTCTCTGCCTGTTATCCCCACCTATCCTTGCTCCTGTCTCGCTATTGGCCGTTCATCTGTTTATTAGAACAATCAGGTGTTTTAGGCAGGCACAGGAACACAGCTTCACAGAGCAGCGTAAACCACTGTCACATACCTGAAAATAATATTCCCCAACAATAGAGTGTCACAGGGGCTAAGAATAAAGGAGTTACCTTAATTAAGTGGAGGTGATGAAAGCTTTGTGGAGTGTCTCCCTCATCCTAGCATAAAGCCAGATAAGTGGTTGTACATGGATTTCATTGAGGAAATGTCAAGTCCCTGACTAGCTACATGCCATACTCATCCTAAGGACCTCTGGGACGGTGCTTAGGCTCAGTGACAGGGCAGGTAAGACCTTCCAGTTCACATGGCATGCCAGAGAGGATGGCAGGGGGACAGCAAAGAGGAGCCTGACATCCAGATCCGGTTTCTCTCCCTTGGTTGCTGAGGCTTTGAACGAATGCCTCAGTTTCCCCAAGTTTCCTTTTATCTTTTACAAAGTGAGGTTAAAAAGAGTGCCTGCTTCTTTAGTGTTATGTGAAGTCAAGAGGTCTGGTACACAGGAGGTTGTCAATAAGTCACTTGGGTAGCGTCATTGGCATTTCTTTCAGTGCCCTCTGGAGGGCTGGCCATGGTGTGAGCTCTCTGTGTCCGGCTGACTAAATGCCGATGGTGTGGGCACTGTACCTATGTTGTCACCCCCAGTTTCATTTTCCGTCTAGAAATCACTTCTGTTCTCACAGACTGGAGACTGATGCTCACATGCTCCAGAGTCTAGTCTCTGACTTCATGGCTCTTCCTTCTTACTTGAGGAGAGCTCTTAGTAGGACACAGGCTGTCTAGGAAGGGTGGGATCCTCAAGCTGGAAAGGAGCGAGGTAAGCACTTGTTGGATAAAAGCCTGTTCTGGCCACAGACTCCAGAGTCTCTCTTGCTCTGGTCCTTTGTCAGTCTCCCCAGAGCACTGGGCCATCTCCAGCAGTTGTTTACCAGTGATGCAGCTAAGGAAAGCTCCAAGGAGTAGAGACTAGCTCCTTAGGGGGCCTTGTCTGTACAGTCATACTTCCCTGATGCCTGGAGCTCCACCTGCTTGAGGCTCTTGGGAGGATTCTCCTCTGAATTGTATGTAACTTCTCCTGGGGGTGTTGGCGAGATGTGCATCCCACTGACCTTGAATGACCTTGGCCACGATCCCCTCAGCGTTCTGAGTCCTACTCTTATCATTTACAAAATGGGCACAAGAGTGCCTTTTCCTAAGGCTTCTGAGTGTGTGAGCTCTGTGCTTGGCAGTTGACTGATACTTAGGAAATAGCAACTGGCCTTTACAAGGTAAGGTTGGAAAATTAATGCCTGTAAAATTAAGGGTGTAGAAAATGAAGTGTTCTGTGTCAGTGGGTAACTAGTTGGTACTTGAAGAAGGTTGTTCCAGGGCTTTTAATAGACATTTTGCCAATATTCCTCATGGCTTAAATGTTCCAGCCCCTGTCATCCCTGAGAGTTGGAGCCCCTTCTACTCTGTCTTTACAGCACATGGGTCTGCCATTAGGGTTAGATGTTACCCCTCTGTTTCCTGAAGAATTCAGTGGAAATAATCATCTTTGAGGACTGTTTGAGTCCAAGGTTCCAGAGTGGAGTGTGTGTGGGTGGACACGTTCTGAGTTCAGCCCCACCTCTCACATGACCACTGTAACTGATCATACGTCATTCAGCCCTTCTGATACTGTCTGTACTGTTCAGATGTTGGCTATGAAGAGTGTAGGAGACAGTCAAGAGTTTAGCGCCATGCCTAATGTTCTGACATTAGCAGTTATTTGACCCCCAAGCATAGTTTCATTTAAGCCCTCCAAGGATTGCTTCAAGTTCTGCTGAGTGTGGACAGTATCTGATGGCCATGCCAGGAGGTATGGCTGGGTCATCATAGCCCCTGCCACTGGCCAAGCTCACACACGCTCAGAGTGGGGAAGAGACAGGCTTCTTGTTTGTGGTGTGGATGAAGGGGAAATAATAGTGTTCCACTGGCGACCTGATTTTCTTGCTAAACTTTCTCGGTAAACAAGTAGTGACCGTGTGATAGCATGGTATCTAGCCCCAGTGAGCCAGCCTCTGAGTAAGCTTATGTATATCCCCAAACTGACCAGACCTTCAGGAGCAATTGGGGTCTGCCAGAGCTCAGCAGCCTGTCCTTTGCCACACTTGGAAACCAAACACTTATTGGAACTTCGCAGAATATTGTAGGCATAGACAACATGCAGAGATACACTTTGCTAGATTTTTTCTCTCTGTGTGGACTACCTCAGCTTCAGCAGTGACCCTGTAGGAGCTCTGAGAGACGAGGAGTGAGTTTAACTTGCCTTTTATCCCCCAAACAGGCTTTGGAAGACCGTGGCATTATAGAGATGCTCCTGACCTCAGACAACAAAGACGGCCTGCAAAAGGGAGTGGTTGACGGAGGTACCTGAAGGAGGCTGCCTGCCTGTCTCTTCTGCACAGTCCTCTGGGCATAGTCTGAGATAAAAGCAGGAGTTTCCCTGGTGCCTGTGGTGTACAGGGCTTGGTTCTCTGGGCTGCAGGGCTATCAGGCTCCATAGAAACTCCCATGGCCCCTTCCTCTTCTTTTTAGCAAGTGCCTTATCATAGATCTTCCAGATACCCAAGTACTTGGTCAGCTGTATTTGGTCATTGTTCTTGCTAAGCATGTGGGGCGCTCAGCATGCTACAGGTAGCTGCCCCATTGGCAGGTTTCCTTTTATCAGAAAACTGCAGCTCCATTTCCCCGCAGTTGCATCAAACCTTGCAGTTATTCTCAGCCCTCTCCTGCCCAGCACAGCAGCTGCTGGCGCATTCTTTTATCTGTACGTTTCTCCTCAGATGTGTTTTGTCAGCTTAGCTGTTGCTGCCCTTCCCATCTACAATGCTGCGGTACTTCACCCATTCCCCATCAAGCTTGTCTTAGTGCAGCAGTTTGTGCCCACCTTAGAGAATGCAGCCCACAGGCCAAGCCTTTTAAAGTACACACCTAGGGAAGCGAAGCGGGAGGGTCAGGAGTTTGAGGCCAGCTTGGGCTACAGAGTGAGTTCCAGGCCAAGACTACAAATATCTCTAGACTCCGTGTTCTCTAACAGATAAGCTTATGACCCAGATCATTCTGCCTTACCTCTTGAGCTCCAAGTGCTCCGTAGAGAAGAAAGAGAAGCATGTACTCTGAGAATGGCCGCATGGGCTGCCCACACAGCAACCCCTGAACACCCCTCCCCCGTCTTCCCTCACACGGCCTTTCCCACTGCCTGCACCCACAGCCCCGCACATGACCCTGACTGCACCCCAGCAGCACACCTCACAGTCTCCACACACATGGCCGGCCGAGCTGCTCCCCAGTGTATGCTCTTTCCCCGTCTGTTCCACCCTCCTGGCTCTGGTCTGTTTCTCACGTACACAGAGCATCCTCAGTCTGGTGACTCTGCGTACCTTCTGGGAATCTGCATGGCTCGCTTCCCTGGAGGACTTTGCAATGAGGTTTTCTCTGAGAACCTTATTAGACCATGCACCCCATTCACAAGGCTCAGCCCACTCTGCCATTTTGCCTTTTAACCTTTGGAATAGCTAGCTTAACTTAGTTCTCTATCTCCCAGCAGCAGTGAGCTCTGTGGGCCTGGGACTGTCTCATAGGGCCCGTGCTTGTACATGCGCTCATGCATGATTCATGCTGACAGAGGCTGTGTGTAACTCCTTCCGTGGCCTCTGTGCTATGCTTCTCTGCAGTAGCACCTCCTCCTGTCTGTTCTGTTTGTTTTGTATTTCCCTCTCTAGACTGACCTGTTTGTAGATGGTGACTTTTAACTTGACTTCCCTTCCACTATACCTGGCATGCTTGCCTCTGGGAATGACTGTTGGGTAGATAGGGAGGAAAAGGCTTTTATCTGTAGCAAGTACCTTGAATGACACATTCATGCTCCTTGGTTCTAACAAATATCAGTAGTGATTCCTGTTAGTTCCACAAGGTGGCACCATCCACTCATGTTTGCTAGCAAGGCTCACCTGATGGGGTTATGGGGTGTGAGACTATAAAAGGCCTTTGAAGCTGTTCTCTCCCATTCCCACCCATCCTCCCCGTCAAGCAGCTGAGATCATTGCTGCCTGGAATGATTGTTTTTTAATTTAAAAAGTTAAAGCATTCATTCCTATGGCCTATAAGTAAAATAATAATAATTTAAAAAACTTGTCAAGAAATACACCTTCCCCAGAAACAACCATCTGAAACTGTACTTTTTTCTCTCAAATTTTACCTTGCCTTCCTATTTCTATACAGCCCACACATGCAACTCTACATCTATTGGCTTAGCGTTCTGAAGCTGTCCTCCTGTTTCCGTGGATGGCTGGGCTTCCCTTGGTCTCACACACCTTCCCTTTTTCACTGGTGCAGTTACAGGGCACTGCACCTGTTCTCTGCAGGTCTGCTGGTGGGCTTTGCTGCTCTGCAACACGAGAGGCTGCAGGTCTGCTGGTGGGCTGCACTGCTCTGCAGCGTGGGAATCAGGTCAGAGTGCTTAGGTCTTACCTTTAGTGGAGTCAACATCTCATTTGCTTTTCTTTCATCTCAAATCTTCCTCTCTTTCCTTCCCTGCTCTCTCTCCCTCCTTCCCTCCCTCCTTCTCTCTCTTTCTCTGTTGTGGGAGGCTGCTAGTTCGTTTCAGGTATCCCGGACCTGAAATAATCACACAGAAACCATGTTATTTGCAATACTGTTTAGCCAATAGCTTAAGTGTATTTCTAGCTAGCTCTTACATCTTAGATTAACCCTTTTCTATTATTTTATATTTTACCATGAGGCTCATGGTTTACTGGCAAGGTTCAGCTGGTGTCCAGCCTCTGTCTCCTGCTGAGGCTATGTGGCTTTCTCTCTGACTCCGCCTACTTTCTCCTCCTCTATCTGCTTGGAATTCCTGCTTTTCCCTATTCTGAGCTGCAATAGGCCCAAAACAGATTCTTTATTAACCAATGTTATTCACAGCATACAGAGGGGATTCTCTCTCTCTCTCTCTCACGCACGCACACACACACACACACACACACACACACAGTTCAGGCTGTCCTCAAACTCATGATCATTTGCCCTGGCCTCCTGAGTGGGATTACAAGCATTCACTGCATGCACATGGGGCTCATCCTGACCTTTGTCCCCAGCCTTGTCACTCTTCCATCTCCCCTAGTAAATGTCTTCACAGAGACCTCTCCAGCTCTCATTCTATGCCTCCTTTGTTTGTAAACATTTTATTTGTTCCTTTCACTAGTTCTGCGTGCCCTGACTTTCTGTTAGAATTGTACCCAGTTTTTGAGGAGAGATGAAACTCTCAAGATGAGTAAAGGAAGTGAGCATTTCCTCTGTGGGGGTGAGGGTGCCATGGGGACTGTCACATCAGGAACCCCAAATATCAGTGTCTAGAGCTACTGTAGAAGCCGTCTCTGGTTCTTGTGCAGATATTTGAGGAACAAATGTGAGGGATGCTTAGGAGCCCCTTGCTCAGGAATCCTCTTTGGCCCTTGCTTCTACTCTTTACCCCATGCTCCCAGGGCACTGCTTCCCGAGAGTATGTCAACCCCACTGAGGGGATGGACACTGGAGCAAAGGAGGCTTGACAGCAGGGCTGGGAGGATGCCTGTGGATGGAGAGGGTCCCATTCATGGTGCTCAAAGTGGAGGAGGGACTTATGGAATCTGGTAGAAAGAAGCAAACCCACCTTCCTAGGCCCCTCCATGGTTTTCACTTTCCCAGGCTTCCTTGGCACTTTGTGCTCACATCCCTTCTGCATTTGCTCCCTGCAACCACTTTCTATCCCTGTCTTGAATGCAGTGGCATGTCAGGATGACACGGCATAACTGTATGTGTGTGTTCAGCTAGCCCCGTGCATTGGTTTGATTTTGAGATTTTAAACAGGCTTCCTGAAAGGAATGGTTAGCTTTAGACAGGGAGAGTTCTAGTTGGGGATCTTTCCCTGTGGGTTGCTAGAAGACAGTGACATGGCAGGACAATGTCTTGGTGTGAAGGGTGCTGAGTTTGCAGCCCTGATCTGCTGCTCACAAATTGTGGGCCACGAGGGAAGCTCCTGTACCTTCACAGCCTTAGCTTTGTTTTCTCTGCTGGTTACCATGGCCGGATCTCCTGAATGGTAACTGGGACTGGCCAGTCTTTTAGTCACTCCTGAGCCCATTCATCTCAGCTGACCATTCAAGTGGACTGTAAGCAAGGGTCCTGGGAGTCAAGTTCTACAGCTGGCTGTGACTGTGGCAGGGCCATGGCCATCAGCTAGCAGTAGCATTTTTCTTGAGTGTGCTTTTCACTTATGGAAAGCTGTATACAATACTGGTTGCATTTTAAAAATAAACACATCATGGAATAGAGTAGACTGAATTCTTAACAAGAAATGAGACATGAGTCTTCACTGAGATCATTGCCCTTGACGTACAAAGGCCTCACCATTGCACCTGGCGTGCCATGGAGAGCTCAGGCTCTGGTTCCTACGGCAATCGTTCAGAGAGCCTTTACTCTGCCTGCAAACATTACAGCCAGTAAAATCAGATGCTGAGTGTTGTGGCTATGCTCTCTAGTGAATGGCACAGTATCCAAGAACAACCATATAGGCGAGTCTCTTGGCATCACAACAGCCAGCTTCTAATGGGAGGTGGGAACAGTGTTTGCACTAGCCATATTTTTTATGCTGGTGGATTGAAGATTTGGGTAATTCAAAAAGTCTTTGTGACTTCAAAACTATGCCTTTTCTTTCTCTGTTGCCTTCCCAGTGCTGGCCACCATCAACTTGCAGTCACAGCAGGAGCTGAAGGAACTAAACAGTGTTCTCTTATCTGTGCAGGTAGGTCTGGCCCAGGGAAGTGGGGGTCTTCTAGCTTAAGTACAGGGATTCCGCATGCCTGCACCGTTCCTGGAGTTCTGTGATGGGGACTCAGCTCTCCCAGAATCTTGGCTCATGCCACATTGCCTGGGAGGGAAGCGGCTTAGAGGCTCTGCTCTAAAGTTTTTCTGTGTAAACTAATGCCATCCAAGTGTGCTGTGCTCTGTTGAGAAGGGCACCTTTGGAAGCTTTTGGCTTTTATGGATTCTGCAAGCCACAGCCTTGCTTGGAGGGATTGAGAGTGAAAAGAAGTCTCTCTGTTCCATAGTGTAGAACGTACCCTACCCTAACCTTCAGAGCCCCATTAGCCCTGGGAATGTTTCTGTTGTTATCCCTAGGACAGGAGGCCTGGTTGATTCCAAGTTGAGACAAGAGAGAGAGAGAGGTTTCTGGGTGTGTTTCACCTTCTTCAGATTGATGGTCACACATCGCCCGATTCCAGTTGATGTCTCTGGTTTGTGTGTCTCTCCTAAACAGACAGATGTGATTGGGGCCAAGCTGTATCCCATGTTCAGAACAGAGAACCCATCTCAGCCTGGCTTATGGAAGGGCGTGAATGCCCTTAGCTTGCCCCCACCCATTGCATATCCACCAGGGTCCTGGAGCAAAACTGATAAGAGTGTATTGACATGGCTCGATGCCCATGGGGATCCTGAGCCAACGGGGTGGGCATACTCGAGGTCCACTGAGTAGGCTGTTTGTTCCAGCTGTTGGCCTTTCGGAGTAGGGATGGTATCCTCAGGTACACTGATAAAGCCATAATGACAGGTAGTACCTTGTAAGGTAAATATGTATATATGGTGTGACTACTCCTGCAGTATAGATGGTGGCCAGAAAGGGGTGGGAAGGTTCTTAGGAGGAGGGCCAGTTTGATTGCTGGTAGACTTTTCAGAGGGGAAGGAGAATGCAGGTACATGTTTGGGCTCAAGTGGAACTCTTTCTTCTCATTTTCTTTCTCCCAGCATGTCTTGGGTCTTTTCTCTGTAGGGGTGCCTGATCTGTCTTCCTTCATGACTGATTTTAGGGCCTCTGTCTTTAAGAGTCTGTAATCTACATGGGAAGAGAGAATCACAAGATGTTGTCTCAAAGTGACTAAGCAGAGTTGCAGTTGAGAGCTGCCAAGGAAAGTACAGATTCCGGCAGCTGCTTAGGATCTACTTGGTCACCTATTGTGGGACTTTGGACACATTGTTTGGCTCCTCTGTGTTTCTTTCCCCTTTATTTGAGTATAGATATAATGAGAACCTTGACTTGAATAAGGTAATGTTTGAAAAGTACCTCACTTTACTGGTAATGGAAGGAGTGTCTGTGTTGGTCCCTAGGAAACCTGCGATGCCAGTGCCATCGGGCTGGCTGTCCTACCAGCAGAATGGCACTGCTGAAGTGCTTTCTTGTGTAACCCATGACATCCGCCCTTGCTTAAATAAATGGCTTTGTGTAAAGGACTTCATTGAATGGACACTAGAGACCCCAGTACTGGTTAACTCTGGGGTGTTCATTAGTCCTCGTGTGTATGTCCAGTGAGGAAGGTGATTTGTGCTGGAGATTTTTTGAGTACTTCCTATATACCACAGGTTTATACACATCATTTGATCCAATTCTCCCAGCGAGCCTAGGTGCCAGCTACTGTTACTGCTGCTGCTGTTTGTGGTCAAGCAAGGAGACAGAAAATGGATAAGGCACCCAGAAGATAGTCAGCTTAGGGTTGGTTGCACCACATTCTGCAGTGAGACAGCTTGGTCCATTCTGTACATTCACTCCTTCCCTACACCAGAGAAGGCCTTAAGTAAACAAATCCACAGTTGGCACTAAAGGTTGCTGGAATTTAGGACTTCGACTGCTTTTCCCTTTGGGGTGACTTAAATGTGTGCATAGCATGGCATATCTTGGGATGCAGACAGTGTGTAAAGAAAAACAAAGTTACTTCTTTCAAAACAAACAAAAAAAACACAACAAAACAAAACAAACTGTGGCTATGCTGGATTTTACTCAGCGACAAGTGGCACCTTCTATACCATGGACTATTAAGTATACCCCATCTCTCTGGAACATGTTCTATTCCTTTTTATGCAGTTTCAAATGTCAGGCCAGCCCATGAGAGAGGATACTTAATCAGCTGTCACTGAATAAATGAGGAATGCTTTCTGGCCCAGAGCATAAAATCTTAGCAAATGAGTCTTTTACACCTGCCTAGGTGTTTTCAGCTTTTGCAAACGTGGTGGAACCAAGCATAGTCCCCAGATGGTCTCCGCATGCTTGGAGAAAGCAGGTGTCACTTCAGTGTTCTGAAGTAAGAATTAAGACTTGTTCAATATCCTAGGGAAGTATGGATCCAGAGTGTAGCTGTAGCGCTTACACCATGAGTCAAGATCTGTCAAGATCTGATGCTCTTGTTTGGTTCTATAAACTGTTGTTTAGATCAGAATTGAAGGAAGACCCATCCTGAAGCCTGCTGACTTCCAGATACAGGAAAGCAGTAATTTTGGCTTGTCTGCATCCACAGTGTGGCTCTCAAATGTACTCATCCAGAATAGGACATTCTTCTTCCCTGGTAGAGGGTAGGCAAATGTTGTCTTGAGCCATAATGAAATCCAACCAATGTTGTAAAGGGCATCTAAGGTAGTTGGCAAATTCTGATTCTGAAGTTTAGTTTGAGCATAGACTTGTGTCTTCTTGTGAGCAACCAACATGCACTCTCAAAAGCACATTAAACATCAACTCTGGTAGCCACTTCTACATTATGCCAGCAGGTGGTGAGGCCACGCGTGGTGAGTGAATGAGCTTCATCTGTGCTGTGCACCTACAAGTCTCTCAGGCAAGGGGTAGATGGCCAGGGAGGACAAAGGTACTGGGGTTCCTTCCAAGAAGGGTGCCCCTTTCTCCCTTTGGACTAGCCAATCTTCCTAATTCTCATTTTGTGGTACCCAGGGCATTCAACCAAAGATGGTGATGGAGTACTGGACAGGGTGGTTTGACTCATGGGGTGGCTCCCACAATATCTTGGATTCCTCTGGTGAGTGCTTTATTTTGCCTACATCTAGTATGTATGTTATGTTAACTCTGAGCAAGATATGTGTTTTCCATTCCTTGGCATTATGAATGGAGTTAGAGGATGCTAGGTTCCTGGGATCATTTGTGTTCATACTCAGCTCTTGGTATTTCAGAGTCTTAACTTGAAGTAACAGTAGGATTTTCATCATTGCTTTTCTGTGTTGTTGTAATTAGAAAAATAGTATACTTATTATAAATATCTAAGAACTGTAGGAAAGTTTAAAGAAGAAATTAAAGTCCTTGAGTACATGTGAAGCATTTTGATGTAATTAACAATATAGGCAGCCCACAGTGTTTCTCTAGACAGAGCTAGAGCTAGATTGATCAGATCTTCACACCCATCCACACCCACCCACCCACACACGCACACTATTCTATACTGCTGAATGTAGGAATACTTGGGGTAATTGGACATCACTCTCTTAAAGAATTTAAAGAGACCTGTTGTGTTGATGACTAAACCACCATTTAGTTACCCAGTTCCTTACTGATGGTTACTTAGTTTTGGGATTCGTTAACTGAATACTACTTAAGTGAGCATCCTTGAACATCTAGTTTTGTATAGTTGGTCTGTATTTCCATATGAAAACGGCTACATCAATGCAGTTTTAATATATGTATTTACCTCTCCCCTTCATAAAGTAGCCTACAGGTCATTATTAAATGAAAGTACTCATTTCCTGCAGATATATCAGTACTGAGTATTAAAATGGTTTTTAAAAATTTTTCCAGTTCACTAGGTCAGTATTGAGTTTGCATTTACTGTATATATCATACAAATACCTATTAATTGACCTTTTATTTTGTTGTTGGATACTCTTTGCACATCCTTGGCTCATTTCCTAGTTAAGAGAGGACTTAGGGACATAGTCAGAACTATTGTGTAATGGGGACCCATCTCTTTTGCATTTCCTTGGGGCAGAGTAGCTGCTGGGTAACGTGCCGGCTGGTAGTGTAGAAACAGCCTATTGGCTACCTATTGTCCTTGGAAACTGAGTGAGCCAGTGATGAAACTGACCTGGGGGAACTGGGATGTGGGGCTTCCCTTGTGCTCTGACCCATTCTAAACATCCTCCTCCTTGTTCTCCTTGAAGAGGTCTTGCAAACAGTGTCTGATATCATCAAAGCCGGCTCCTCCATCAACCTGTACATGTTCCACGGAGGCACAAATTTTGGCTTCATAAATGGAGCCATGCATTTTAATGACTACAAGGCTGATGTCACCAGCTATGGCAAGTATCCCAACTGGTTCTTCCTCTTCCTCCCCAGTGTTTATAGGGTTGACATTTTGGTGGAGAGTCCTTTAGAAAGAGTTTCTGTCTCCTTTCATGACTTTGGCTATATAATGTCCAGAGAAGGGATAGGCTTTGACTGACTATTACTTCAAAACTTCTAGAGCAGTCGGTGCCTGGGAACACCTTGCTTCCTTGAGGGACCTCTTGGGGGACCAAGGGAAGGGAGACAAATCTAGAGTGATAGGGGTAGTAATAGACTCCCCCTTCTCAGGCCCTTGAGAAGGTTTGATGTTGCCCCCCCCACTTCATAATAAAGATGCTTTTCTTCAAAATTGCTGGTTTGAGAACTCTGTTCCCCCAACCCAGTTTCTCCTCCTTTCTTCTCTTTTCCTTCATCATTTTGCACTGTTCTGGGGACAGGAGAGACTGTGAGAGGTCAATGGCTGTTTTGCAGACTATGATGCTATATTGACGGAGGCTGGAGATTATACTGCCAAATACAGCAAACTTCGAAACCTCTTTGGAACCTTCTCAGGTACAAACAGGCAATAGATTCAAACATCCACTTGGGTCCACACTCTTGCCCAGAGCCTTGGAGTTTCTGCTGTCTTGCTATCCTACCTCAACTTTAGCTGATCCATATTCAAGAATACTCTAAACTATTAGGAATGTAACTCAGTAGAACTCTTGCCCAGCATGTGTAAGACCCTGTGTTGTACCCTGAGCACTGCCAAAAAGAAACAAGTAAGCAAGCAAACAGGCAAGCAAACATTCTAGACAAAGAAAGTTTGAGTGACTATTTTCATCATGGTGTGCCCCTTGTATTTGACTTGTACTAAGCCTATTTGTGACATATGAAGACATGAGGAAACCCTGCCCTTGTTGACGCCTTGTGTTCTAGAGTAGTTCCAGCCCTGAATAGGGCCAGTGGTTAATATTGCTGTTAAAATGAAAGGAGAGCATTGAGCTGTGGGTATGAGGCTGGAGGAGACCATGAGGACTGAGTCTTGAAGGGAGGGCCATGGGCCATGGTTTCTGTTGCAGGTATCCCTCCACCTCCTCCACCGGAACTTACTCTTAAGATGATCTATGAGCCAATGAGGCCATCTTTCTACCTCTCACTGTGGGATGCTATCCTGCTCTTGGATGACGTAAGTGCTGCAGGCTGGGCATCAGGGATAGTTATCAAGAAGATAGGACCAGGTCCTTTCCAAGTGGGGTTCTGGGATGAGCAAAGCCACGAGCAAAGAGAATGCATTGGTGCTGGAGCAGGAACTGGGAAGGAACAGAAGAGCTTGAACTTGTTGCCCCCCTCTCTAGCCTCCAGGGTAGGCCTGGGTCATGAATAGAAAGAAGAGTGGAGGAAGGGATGATTCTTCCCCCATGAGAAGGAAGAGGGCACCTGCAGTTGTTCATTCTTCTGTGATACAGGAATGATAGTGGCCTAAGGATTCTAGTAGATTACAGGACTCTAGTGTGATCTCCCTTTTCCTGCTGACCTTATTTCTGTGACTCTAATATTAGAGCCATGAGTTTAAGCTAGTAAGAAGACAGAGCAGAGCAAAGAGGTTAGAGAAACCTTGCACCCTGTCCCTGGTGTTCTTGCTGCCTATGTGAAGACTTTGACTTAGGAGCAGCCTGGCTCCTGTGCCTTCTTGTGTCTCCTTATGTAGCCAGTCCAGTCTGAGATTCCCATCAACATGGAGAACCTGCCAGTAAACAATGGTAACGGGCAGGCCTTTGGGTACATTCTGTATGAGACCACCATCTTCTCCTCTGGAGTCCTCAGTGGCCTTGTGCGCGACAGGGGGCAGGTAGGAGCATCTCCTCTGAATTCCCAGCACTTTGTCATGATAAAGCGTGGCAATGCGTACCTTAGTCTTTGCCCTCAGAACCAGCTGATGCCAGTGTATGAAGCTGTCTCTCCACTGGCTGCAGATTACACAATCTTCCCTCGTAACTGTGGTGCTCACTTCCCTCCATACCTGTCCAGCACCTTCAGAAGTCCCCACAATGGCACTTGTTTTGTTGTGTAGCAGGGGCTCCTCGTTTCTCCCTCCTGTTGATCATGACTTTTATTTGCTCACTTTGGCAGGTCTTTCTGAACAGAGTATCCATAGGATTCTTGGACTATAAGACAACGAAGATTACTATCCCCTTGACCCAGGTTGGTTATTCCAGGGAGCTGGGTGATGGCTAGGAAACTCAGTAGGGGTCAAAGAGGAAGACCAGGAATCCAGGAAGCTCCTTAATTAAGAACTGGAAAGAGAAGGGCACACCTAGCTTTCTGACCAGTTGGGGCTCTCACTCCCATTCTCAGAGCATAGAGAATAATAGGAACACAGAGCTCCCCAAGTATAGCTGGGCTATCAGGCAGTGATAACTGGTTGCTGTGTTCCCGACAGGGTCACACTATGCTGAGGATCTTGGTGGAAAATCGTGGGCGAGTCAACTATGGGGATAATATTGACACTCAGCGGAAAGGTGGGTCCTACTATAGACCAGGAGAAAAGCTATCATCATGCCTCAGGCTTGTTTATCTGCTCACCATGAAGCACGTCAACAGGCCATTGGGCCCCTTTCAGGGAGGTGGTTTGTGGAGGCCTGATGCAGGGAGAGGCCTTAGGCTGCCACTGCAAGACAGGTGGTTCCTGGAGGTTTATTGAAGGGAGACGATGCCTGTTTTTACCTTCATGCAAGTCCTGGTTAATGCATCAGGAGGATTTGGCCACTTTCTCTTTAGTGTTTCATAACTGGATAGTTCATGTACCCCTGGAAGAGGCTCCATAAGCCATGAGCTGGCCTCTCAGTCTTTGTACTGAAATCTGCTTTGGTGGGCGTGGGCCTCTCTGTTTGCAGGGCTGTAGGTAAGGAGCAAGGAATGGGAGTATCCTGGAGTCCATGAAAGAATATAATATACCTACATTCTTGGGTCTTCACACTGGATTTCTGTTCTCATTTCTCAGGAACACTCATAGGCAATGCTCTGGACTCAGGGGGAAGCTAGACACGCAATGAACACACTGCAGTTTGCTTTCTCGCCCCTCCATGAGTATCCCTCCAGTACCCGTGCCTGTGTCCCTGGCTTTCTGAATCATTAGACCTTTAGTCCCTTTTTCCCCCTGTCTGTTTATATGTGAGTAGTTTCCAGCACAGTTTAAGGAGGGAACTAAGTTAAAGGAAGATCTTCCTATGACAAGAAGTTGAGGAAATTCCATTTCTTATCCTCTGCGTTTGTGGTGGAGGAAGCATTCACCTCTCTTTCCTGGTCAGAAAGTCCACGTGTCCAGAAAGTAATGGGGCCTCAGCTCTTGGAGCTTCCCCTCCAGAAGAGCCTCAGATTCGTTATTATAGGTCCCATCTAGCACTACCCACATAACAAAGTAGCAGCATCTAGGCCGCCATCCTAGACCCTCAACGGTTTTCCAGGATTTCTCCACAGGCCTTATCCCCTTGCTTAGTCTTCCTTCTCTGGAGCCATCTTACCTCTTTGGTTGTTCTGGAGTTAGGAAGACCTGTCAGACTATCCAATCTTTATTTCCCTGGGATTTAAATTGAGTGTGCCCCGACCATCTGTAGAATCCCTCCCTCTTGTCCAGTTCAGTGTTTGCAGTTCACAGACCTTCCCTCCAGAAATACATGTGCTCACACGCTTGTCCCTGCCATGGAGCCTGCTCCAGGTTCAGCTGTGTCCACAGTAAAGGTGCTGAGCAGCCGCCCTTCCAGTATGCAGGTGCTTACTGCTGGACACCTCTGTGATCTTATATCTTCACCATTTAGATGTCTTTAAAGCTAACTTTAATCTTAGGTTGTACAGAGAGTTCTGACTGGTTGACCAGATTTTCTACTCTGAGACCCTCATGATCCACAAAATTAGGCTCTTTGTCACCATTTAGCCACATGGCCTTGCCAGAAGAGGTCAGAAGCCAGATGTCACACTCTGACACCTCAGCTTTGTCTGTGTTCTCAGTGCCCTGCTCTTTATGTCAGATCTGGGGCTTGACAAACAGTGGTCTTGCTTATTGCCACTTTTGACGTCTCAAGGGAGGCTTTCGTCCAAGTGCAGAGTTCCTTAGGCAGCATCTGCTTTAGGAAAATCCTTGCTTCATCTTTCCTGGATTGTCTGCACATGCCCTGACTGCAGCTATGATGCCTGTCTCCCGACTGGGGGCTTGCTCATCTTTCTTTGCCTACTTTCTCCAGGTTTAATTGGAAATCTCTATCTGGATAATAATCCTCTGAAAAACTTCAAAATCTACAGCCTGGATATGACAAAGCCGTTCTTGCAGAGGTGGGTCCCTGAGAGTCTGGTATATAAGGCCATATACCATAATATGTACCTAATATGTAGCAGGAGCCAGGAGTGCCTTGGCCTTCCTGTCTGGATTCTGCAGAGTTACAAACAGACCCAAAGGCCAAAGTGACATACCTAAGGTGACGGGTAGTACTAGCTAGAACCTATGTTTCCAGACTGGGAAACGACCATCCTGCTATCTTGCTGCCATTCTATGACCTGGTTGACAGGCATGTGACTTCTAGCCTTGTTGGGGGGAGGGATGCGCTTTAGGAATTCGATGAAAGTCTGAAAGCAGATGTGAGATGGTCCTTCCCTCTTTTCCCTGCTTACATCCTGTTCTTAGGCTCATCATGGACAAGTGGAGTTTCATTCCCAAAGAGCCCAGCTTTCCTGCTTTCTTCCTGGGCGCCTTGTCAGTGGGCATTTACCCCTCTGACACATTTCTGAAGCTAGAGGTTTGTAGGACCCCTTTCCTTCCCTATCCTCCCATTTTCTTGGGGCACGGAGCCCAGTTGGCTTCAGTGGAGTGCTCTGTGACACCTCCTTGTTGCCCCACATGATAGGAACCCTGCGACTTCTCTGTGGTAGAGGAGTGGGCTCAGAGCAGAACCACCTGTGGTACTTCTCGTGTGTGTGTGGGTTCCTGTGGACAGTCTGAGGTTGACTGCCCTGCCTGGAAGACTCATAGCAGTGGGGTGGGCTGACCTCCATGGATATCAAATTTGGTTCACGTTGGTCTTTCAGGAGCATGGTGTATTTCTCACTGCATCTGTTTCTGGTGTGACTTTACCTTTGGGACGTTTGTAGTAAATCAAGTCTTTCCCTATTATTTTCCAAGGGCTGGGTGAAGGGGGTTGTATTCGTCAATGATCAAAACCTTGGACGCTACTGGAACATAGGACCTCAGGAGACTCTCTACCTCCCAGGAGTCTGGCTAGAGAAAGGACTCAACAAGGTGGGACCACTTCTAGGCTCCATCCCCTTTCCTTGTAACTCTCTTCCCATCCCTGTTCTCCTGCTAGCAAGCTGCTTCTGTACTGCTGAAGTGCTTGGTCATGAAATAGGAAAGGGTGGGTATTCGGTCAACTTGTTCTTCGGCTTTGCTTGGTGATGACTCTGCACTCACCGCTTCCTGCCTCCTTCCATCCTCGACCCCACACCCTTCCTCCCATCCTGCTGTCTCACCCAGCTGCAGGGCAGACCTCAGAGTTCAACCCTTGTTTCCCACAGGTCATCATCTTCGAGGAGACAATGGCAGGCTCCGTGGTACAGTCTACTGATACCCCCTACCTGGGCAGGAACCATTATGTTAACTGAACAACAGTCCCAGCCTTCCTGCTGTGGCTGGCGACTTCCTTCCGTCCTCTGCTGCAGGAGGGTCTTCATACCTAGCAACCTCAGGGAACAAAGGGCTATAGTCAACTCAGTCCAAAATCCTAAACTTGAGGGGACTGAAGAGAAGATGGGGTAGCATTGTCTAGGATACCCTCATACTGAAATGACTTCTCCCCAGGTTTTGTGGTTGAGTCCCTTTCTGCTCCCCTAATCTTTCTGGGGAGGCCATAGAGCTGTCTCTGAGGGTGAAGTACGTAGTTGGAGCACCTTCAAAGAAGGTGCTGAAGCTGGGTGGATACTGCCCTCTTCTGGAAATGAAGGCCTCACGAGGCCAACCTGCAGGATACAGGAAGGCTTTTAAACATCCTAGGAGGGCGTGGCCGCTTTCTGCTCTTGAATTTGCGGATTTGCCACTGTTTGTAGAGCAAAGACAAAGCATGTCTTACTTGAGTCAACTTGATTTATGTTTCGGCTTTCCTCAGCTAGTTCTGGGGTTCTGGAAGAAACATACATCTTTTCCTTTTCATTCTGTCTCTTATGACATTGAATCAGTTGATAAGCTGGGCTTAAGAGAAATAGACATGTTCAGTACTTATCTTCCTAAGTTAAGAGAGCATTTGCTATTGTTCTGAGTGAGGAGGAGAGTCACCAAAGAGGAACAGCTTCACCAGGGGAGGAGCTGGGGATTTCAGCAGAAGCCACCTCATATCCATGCTCTTTGTGAGGGAATGGCAGAAGGCTCAGCTAAGTGGCACTAGGCAGCTGCTTCTGACCCCACAAAAAGAATTTGGGGTTTGCTACAAGCCACAGGTCTAGCAGGGGCCTTGTTTCCAGGCCAGCTGACTCACTGAGCACTCTTTCCCCTGACTGAAAAAGCAGCAGGGAGGAGGGAAAGCGGCCAGTGTCTGTCCTGTTGTCTCAATCCAGGTTGGAGACTCTTGTTCTAGGGATTGAGTGCAATGGCTTGCTTTGGGTTTGCCACCCTACACTGCAATAAAGCAATAGATTTGAAGCAAATCTTCTTTGTGGATGTCTCCAGCTTGTCTGTGCCACTCGAAGCAATGGGAGAAAAATCCAGACACTGATGGTACCCAACTGGTGGATGGCACATGCCCTGGCTTCTTACCACTTTTCCTGATTTTAGTTTTCTTTGAAATGTCATTGTGTTAAGAACAATCCAATCTCATGCTGGTGGATAAGAATAAGAACATTCTAGAAAGCCAAAACCGCAATATATAACTTAGCCTTAGGTGAGAGTCTCTATTCATAAATTATATTGATATGTACTACTTTCAGCTGGCTATCTTCAATAATAGTGAAAATCAAAGAACACACATCTGTGAGGACAGTGTCCCTAGAGAAGCCCAGTGAAGATGGATCAGGCAAGCGTAGGGTGAACGAGAGGCTCAGGCTGGCGAGCTGGATCCTCGAGTGTTGCTGAAAGCAAGGCTTGCGGTGGAGTCAGGGTGTGCAGGCTTGTGTGTAGCAGCTGAGCTATGAGCCCTGGTAACTTACTTATGGGTGCTCGTGGGGCACAGCCCATGTCTCCCTGGGCCTGAGAAATTGAGTTTGTTTTTTTCTTTCTTATTGTCTTTCTTTTTTAGATGTGGTCATGTTATGTAGCCCAGGCTGGCCTTGAACTTTCAGTTCTCCTGCTGTAGCTTCCCAGGTACTGAGATGATAAGGTTGTTCCATCATGCCAACTCGAAGGGCGCTTTTTTTTAAAAAGTCCTTTATTTGTTTTTAAAGTTTTAAAATAAAATTATACGACGATTATTTGTTTACTGTGTGTGTGGATTAGGTGTATGTGTGCCACGGGTACGGACGGTCAGAGGTCAGCCTCCTTGTGGGTTGTCAGGGTTGAGAGCAAGTGTCTTTACCCACCAAGCCATCTTGCTGGCCCTTCAAAGGGGGCTTTTTAAAGTGCAGATTACAGATGAGGCTTGAAGAGCCAGTCAGACTAAGTCCCCAATTTTAGCCATGCTTGCAGGTTCTTCCTGAGATGTCTTGGACTATCAAGCATCCAGCTAAGGTATAGATGAGTCCAGGATTACTTGAGTAAAGCCAGAGCCAGAGAGCAGTGTTAAATTGTCACTTTGCCTTGCATTACATAAGAACGTGTTTCTACCAAGCTGCATTAAGCAGTGCTGTCCTTCTGTAAGGGAGCAAAGAATTCTGAGTTACAGCTTTATGCATACATGATCAGGTATATATTGGGCTTTCTGTAGAAACATTTTTCTCTGCTTCCCCAGCCTGTGCCGGCCGACCTTAGCTCTCCAGAGTGACTAGTTTACCCAGATCCTGTGTGCCATGAACCCATCTCAGTCCCCGCAGAGTACTTCCCCTTAACCAACTTGCCCTGAGACTTTGCACACCCATTATTTCTTTTGTCTGCTCACTGTGTGGGGTCACGCCTGTGGGATCTTGACACCAACACTTTCCGGTGTTGGTTCCCATTCTCACTGCAAGTACGCGGAGCGCTGACCCTGACTATCTGTTGCACGTGCATTACAAGGTCAGAAGCAGAACTCCATTTTCCTCTCCTGCACTCTGTCCTGTATCAACAAATGGAAATTCTGGCCTGTGTCTTGGGTCATTTTGGCTGCTGTCTCTTCATTCCACACCCAACCCTTCCTAGGCATGTTTAGATGCAGCCACTCCCTCGACTCCAGAGCTCGTGCTCCCATCCCAGCCACCAGCATCTTGTAGCTGGCTTATCGCAGGGGCTGCCTCCCCAGTCCCCTGCCTTGGCCCATTTATCCTCAGCACAGGAAACAAAGTGGATCTCGAAGGTCAGTTCCATCAGTGGCTCCCGATTTCACTTAGAGTCGAAATCAAACGCTTTACCCTGGTCCCAGAGGCCAGCTGCTTCCAGGCTTTCTTTCTGACTTGCCGACCACATCTCCCATGCCACTGCTCCCACCCCTGCCCCCTGCCCAGTCAACTGCAGTCACGTTACTCTTTTTTCTGAGCTATAGGTATGAGAAGCTCTCTGCACATGGGGGCGTTTCTCTCTTACCAGGATGCTCTGCCTCAGCTGCAGGTTGGCATGCTGCTGTTTGGCTCAAGGCCCCGTACCAGGGAGGTCTTTCTTGCCATGCTTTAAGGAACTTCCGCCTGTCCCACTACTACCCTCCATCCTCTCCAGCAATTCTGCCCTTCTTCCAGCACCTCACACCTGAAATGCTGCGGGAGCTCCGTTGTCTGTGTCCTGGATTTGGTGGGTAAGCTCCGTCATGCTGGATCCTGACTAGAAGAATGCCTATTCATAGCAGGCACCTGGGAACTATTTGTTGGCTGGCTAAATTAATAAATGAGACTAAAATAAGGCAAGGCTGAAGAGGATTACAACTGTTAAAAACCATATTTGACTTTTAATTTCGAAAACAAATTAAATAGAGTTAAATTAAAACAGACCAGATGGTACAGCAGCTTGGGCTCCACCCTCACACCAGCCTCTGCCTGTGGAGCTCCTAAACCCCTGGCTTGACTCCTCTGTGGTGGGGCTTTCCAGCAAGGGAGCAGGGAACAGCCTGGGTTTGGAGAACAAGTTGTCAACACGGACCCAGTTCTATTTGCAACAAACTCATTCTCAAAGGCTGCAGTCCACCGGGGTCGGAATTATAAATAAATACACATGCAGCTAAGAGAGGATATTAGGAAAACAACTGAACTAACATCTGCCAAAAATAATAACAATAATAAAACCCCCAGTTTGTTTTTCGTTTTCAATTTCCTAAAAAGGAGCAGTGGGTTCTGGCTAAGAAGGCAGCCTCAGCAGCTGGTTTGACCTTGGCATTCACTGTCGGTTTCTACGAATGGGCAGCAGAGTGCCCAGACATAAATTCACTCATCAGATAGATGCCCTGTGCCTATTTCCTCCCTCTCCCATGCCACCCATGTGATGCCAAGGGGTCAATTCCCAAAGCAACATCCAAAGTAGAAGTGGTTGGAGGGAATATCCTGCAAGGTGGCTGTGGGGTCTGATCCTATTGGAGGTTTTCCTGAAGACTGTGGGAAGTTAAATCCATCTCAAAATAGGCAGCCGATGCTATTCTCGGAAGGTTAGATGTGTGAACTGGGTCCCATCCACCCAGGAGTGGGTTCTGAACGACTCTCGGGCCTGTCCTATGAGTTTTAATGTAGGGGGAGCTGTTAGCAGTTAAAAAATAAACACCTCTTCAGTGGGCTTGTGGTGCCCTTTCCTTTTTCCCACTTGGAGGAAAATTGTGCTTCCAACTTGTAGGAGCTGGAGTGAGATTACACCAGAGGGCCGCATCCAGCCAGAGCCGGGGGCCTCTCAGATGCTGGACCCCAGGCAGATGCTCCTGGGTGGGTGGGGACAACAGCCTGGGCATACTGTTTTCTCTGGAGAGGGTAAGTGAGCACGAGGCCGGGTTGGCTTTGCAAGCTTTCCCGTTTTGTGTAAGATAGAGTGACTTCCAAAGTGGTGTGTGCTCAAGTCTCCTTTTCTTCCAGTGTTCAAACAATCCCGCTCTTGTTTCCAAGTCCCCTGCTAATGCACCCCACACAGGAATCAGTGCAGGAAAGGGCTGCGGTTGCTGGGCCTCACACTTCAGGAAAAACTCTGCCTGTTTATTACTGTTAACTCCAGTCCCGAGGTCTATGATTCTCAGGTTCTGGGAAGAGGGCATTTTGTCCCCGGTCCAAGCCAGGCAAGGGGGCGTTGCAGCCCAGGGGTATTAGAGAGGCAGTGTGGACACTGGGGTCACATGGTTCTTAATCCAGGTCAATTAATGACCTGTGCTGGCTCTAGGCCCACCACCTTGCCAGTTCTGGCACAGGAGGCTTGAGGGACGTGGGAAGGGGCTTTGTTCTCCCACAGCCTGAGGTACAGGGGGAGCTGTAGGTAGGCCCAGGCTCCCCCGATGCAGGGCTGATGTTTACAGCCTTATGCCCTGTAAACATGAACCAGAGAAGAGCCAGAGGTATTTGTGATTTGGGAGCAGCTCTGCGGAAGAGCGGTGTGAAAGAGGAGTGGTGGGACACCTTCATGCCCTGGGCTGCTCTCTGGTCTTCGCAATGTCCTGGCTGGGCACATGCTGTGTAGTCATGCTAGGCCCAAGAGCAGGGAACAATGGAGAACCATGCTGGACTCCACAGTGGGGTTTTCTGACCTCCCTCAGCTCCAGCATCACTCCAAGGTAGGGTCACCCGCTTACACAGCCCCATCAGTGCAGGACGCTTCCAAGGAGATGTGCAGAGCACAGGCTTTGCTGGCAACTGGACTCCCCAGCCCTCGGGTCTCAAGCCCCTGGCCATGTTGATGGAGAGAACAACAGGTCTGGGATTCTGTGCTTAAATTCTCTGTCTTTTATCCTGGCATCAAGCTGGGCTTTCTTGGAAGCCCTCAGAATAGACAAGAGGTGATGCTGTTCCTCTGGAGTCTGCCTCAGAGTGACTATCAGCCATGGGAGAGGATGGAAGGCCAAGATCAGGGTCTGAGAAGGAGATTCCTGTGTAGGGAAAGCAGGGACAGCACAGGAGTCAGCCTGGGGCAAGGTGGAGCTGGAACAGCAATAGGACAGAGTGCCCAACCCTGAGCCCCTAGTGGACCCCACAGAGCCTCTCTGGGCTTCCTTTGGAGACTTGTTTGAAAAGCAAGTGGTGGAGATTATTCCACTGACCCAAGTGAGGGCAGGAGGTGGGATGAATCTCTGTACTGACACATTCTAAGAGGTGCTGCCAAGGACTTGAAGTTGAGGAATGATTTCCTGTAGTCCCAAAGACATGGAGCCTGCAGATGTGCTGAGACAAAAATCAAGGTATGTGTCTGCTGTGAGCCCCCAGATCTGGGGCAGGATCTGGTCAAGGTAGTGTCTGCTGTGAGCCCCCCCATATCTGTGGCAGGGCCTGGTCAAGGTTCTGTCTGCTGTGAGCCCCCAGATCTGGGGCAGGGT